TTAGCACACGGGCCTACAGCATTTTCGCCTCCATCGAAAATGCAGCCAGCCGCAACCAGGATTCGATTCCGCGACCTGTAGGTCAGCAGCCGAGTACCCTATAGCCGCTAGGCCACCGCGGTTGGGAAACAAAGAGCTCGGTCACCATGAAGTGCCGAAGAACTACAGTTGCCACTTCGTACGGCTTTGCGGAAGATTTTAGCGCCGCAACGATTACAAAGTGTTTCATAAGCATTTAAGGCATTGTGTTCCTTGCTCTACTAGAACACGCGGCAGTTACTCTGGAACGGGTGCTTTGCGCAGCTTCCGGTAGGCGGCGAAACACGTTTACGTAAGGGCGGCTTGGCATCAGCTGGCGTCCACATCCCTGGAATCAGCATTTGCAGTTTTTTTTTTAACTAGGCAAGTAATAGCGCCAAGGATGTGTGACGTTAGAATTACGTGGGCTGTAATATTCGAGCGAAAACAATGCAACGGTTAAGGCCCAAACTCCATAAGCGCGAAAATGCACGCGACAGCGACGAGCGACGCGACGTAGATCGGCGTCGCGCGATCAGTCGCTAGCGCAGGCAAACCTCATTCACGCGACGGCTTCGGCGAGCGAATTCCACTGTTGCTGGCATGAGGCCGTCAACTCGCACCAAGAAAACCGCGTAGCGAGCGGTTTCTAATTTAAAAATAAGATATATTGTTGTGTAATGGAACGGAAAGTGTTTATTATTGCCTTGCAGCATTTTTTATATGCGCATGCTTAATAAACATTGCGTTATTTCTTGTTGCGCATACGTGACTCGGGCAGGGTCACGTGCACCTATGTAGTCTTCGTCTTTTCCGGTTTTTCGCTATTGGCTGCTTGAGCCCAGCACTTCCGGGCGATGAGCGACGGTTTCCAAATCTGGAGAACCGAGCGATCGCGCGAAAACGAGCACGCGACACGTCGCGCGAACGCCCTGTTTCGTCGCTCATAGCGTCGCTCGTCGCTGTCGCGTGCATTTTCGCGCTTATGGAGTTTGGGCTTAACTCAGAAATATTTCTTTCTGGGTGCCAGTAGCTATCATCTCCTAAGCCTAATGGTGAAAAGTCCTTTAACGCAGTGTGTCACTGGACCAGTGGAATTACTCTCCGACAAGTGGTCTCGTTTTCTTTCGAGGCACTTATGAATGGCATGGCTCCAGCGACAACTCGCATTCAATAATTTTTCATCGCCTAGCTTCCCTCGAACCTCCGTCTAAGACCAACGGGCGTACGTCTGCAAACGGGCGGCCATGTTTACAGACACTTTATCGTTGTCTGTCTCGCCTGGCGTCTCTCTTTAGTTCCTCCATACGTTTTCCGTCACCGAAGCCAAGGCCAGTCCACTGGTGAATTATATGGTGTACATGTGCGCCACGAAGACGTGAATGACGTATACGAGGTGCCAGGAAAAGGTCTGGGATTAAATTTAAGACATGGTGGGGACAAGGGAACGGATACAATGTGTTGCTTGGCTCCAGGTTCCCCCTGGCAGCAATGTTTACCTCGTCTGACCCGTTTCACCGTTGGATCCAGTACCATCGCAACGGCCGTCATCTGTGCTGCTTCTTTAGACGGGGGGACACACGTTGGTGCGTAGATTCGACCATGCAGGAAAGACGGTCGTGGCCAACTACACGTAGATTTGCTTCGGCTGTTTTGTTTTCTTTTCACTTTTCGTTATTTAAGAATATATTTTTCAAAAGTATTACTAATATTGAACGGTACTGCTAAACACATATGATTGATATAATTAGCCAACAGTTAATGAATGTAAATACATTATTTCAGTGAAGTATGAATGTATCATCGACGTCAACATAATTGTTGATCTTCAGTACCTGAAGAAAATTCATCATATCCTGTTGCATGTGCGTGCACTAATGCGGGTTTTCGATGCGAACAGGGGGAAAAAAAACACTAGCATAGTGCATGCACACTTTCGAAGTTCACGCCAAAAGCCACCACTACGTTACGTCATCGCAACGTCACTGATTGTAGCAATGAAACCTCAGCGATACGAATCTCATGAGATCACCAAAAATATGTAATATGTACATATTTCGAATGACACATATCATTCGAAATCTGTGTCACCAGTATACAAGCGTGGGAGGTTAGCGTGCGATAAAGAATGATGGCGTACATTTTCATTTATTCTTTTTTATTTGGGGGGGGGGGGGGCGCAGCAATGTTAGAAAGAACACTGAATGATTGTCAGTCAAGTTTTTAGACGGTAGCCAAATTTCGGCGTACTTCTCTAGGGGCGAAGCATCTTCAGTAGAGTGGAGCCTTGTTCCTCTGAAGTTTCTTGTCCTAGCTTGCACGCGCTGGTAGAGGCGGCCGCGAGCTCGCCAGGTAACAGAGGAGAACAATGATCACGAATGCGCTCTTGGCACGCTGTTTCTTTCGCTGCGGCAAACATATACGTATAAAAAATCAGATTATTGCTCTATTCTAAGAATAAATTCGTTTATGTAAATAATTGCATGCATTACATCAAGCACCACACTTTCCTAGGCTATCGGTAATCTTTCTATTACATCTCCATTATTCTAAATTTAAACAATAATTTTTAAAACCACTCGATTTTTGGCCAATCCCCCATAGTGGGTATGCGCCACGATCAATAGGTGAACAACAACAACAACAACAACAACGACGACGACGACGACGACGACGACGACAACAACAACAACAACAACAACAACAACAACCCCAAAACCCGCTCGCTCCCGGCTCTCTCTCTCTCATGGTCATGCGAGTGCACTTCGCTATAAATGACAACACCACGGCTCCCAGCGTGGCAACAAAGTCCACAGTTTCGGGCTCGCAGGGCAGCTGCAGCACGGCAGCGCAGTCCAGCGGATCCAGGACTTGCGGGCTCGGGAAGCTGCAGCGAAACGGCAAGCCGACCCGGAGCTGAGAGCTCGCGAAGCTGCAGCGGCACGGGAACGTCGTCTTCTCAAATTTCAGATTTTGATCCTATACAAGAACCTTTAGCTTTACATTTCACTTATGATAAGGCGGTCATAACGAAAAGCAAACGCCGCCCACATCTCGACACCATGCGCGCGTTGTGATTAATAAACAGCTTTGTATATACTGTAGTACACACGTGTTGCCATGTCTTTCCACGATTGAGACGGGAATGTCGGGGGGCGTTAATGATTTTCCGGAGCTTCGCCCACTCGCCATCATTCACTTCGTGGATATGCTGTGATTTTTCGCATGAAACTAGAGTACTGCGGCGAAATCAACTGAAAAAAGGGCTTTGACGCCATATATCAAGACCACAAATTTTCAGAACCACGATCCTATATGTTATGACTTTGGTATCGCGAAGGTACTAGGGTTATGAAGCGTGGAAACTTGGGCAAGTTGGTAGGACATAACTGAACGCAGCAACAGCGCAACCTAGAAGTAGTTACTTCGTAACTACTGAAGCGAAAAAGCGCTCTTTTCTGTCCTTGTTTTTTTTTTTCGCTGCCGTAGTCACGAAGTAACTACTTCTAGGTTGCGCTGTTCCTGCATTCAGTTAGGTTAGGTACTAGGGTATTTTTTTTAGGGGGGGGGGGGGGGGTACGTACTGTGCCTGCACAAGTGCGACCTCAGTAGTCACGCATGTTGACGCTGTGGGGACCGACTCCTTCGCCGAGACCGCCCTCGCTTTCTTTCGGTCCTAGCCCACCTTCCGTAGGACGTCTGATCCACGAGGCAGTGACGTACGACAGTACAACGACAGCAGCCCACGTCGACCCGTCGGAAGAAAATGAAAAGCATGGCGTCAATGCCTTCTGTTATCTAAACGCGAAAGCGCACGGAGGCCCATTACATCCTCAAAGATTCGCGCGCACAATCTCGGAGGCCGTGACACGTCTCTGAAGGTTTTACCCTGACCGTAAGAATCGACGATTTGGTGGTGCGGCGCGCGTGCCCACGCATTTGCGTTTCCCGGGCGCACTTGCACGTGCTCGGCGCGTGTTGCGCGACCTGGGCGCTGGTGGACGTTCGTATCACACGTCGCGGGGTGAAAATCGGTTCGCAGCCAACCGTACTCCATTACAAGGCAGGCCAATGGACTTTTGCCGGGACCTAATAAAAATTTGGGTCACACCGACAGTCGTATGAACTGTCGTCGCATCGCCGAGGTTTCGCTGTATATATTTCGTGCGCTTGAGCTATTTCACGCAGTGTACTGCGAAATGAGGTGACGCTGTTGCTGTATGATGCATTCCGTATTTAGTGATAAGATACGGAGATCTGATAAGCCTTGCGTTGTCGCAGTCGTGATGACCACGGCGTCCAGGAGGTGACGGGATTGCTCGTGTGCTCACCACGGTGTAAGAATAGTTTACATTGTGGTGCTCACCCTAAATATTCACAATCTTCATCAATTCTGTTGTCGAAAATATTTCTTCTGTGTAGGAAGGAAGGAAGGAAAATAGAGGGAAAAGAAAGGCAAGGAGGTTAACCAGCCTATAGGCAGCCGGTTTGCTACCCTGCGCATGGGAGAGGGATGGGGGAGATGAAAGAGAGCAGAGAGGGAAGATAGAAACAACACATTCGGCAGCACATGCGCGCCCACTCAGTCATAGTCCAGTCTTGTCTTTCGCGGTGTGTGACATTGCTGTTACAGTCGCTTGTTCAAGTCGGTGTCGCGTAGGAATTTCAACAGAGCTTTCGTCGCCTTCTGTTGCAGTAATTCACATATGAGTGTATTGGCTTAAGTCTTTTTTTTTTTTTTTATGACCGGAGTTGAAACTATAATAAAACGGCTGGGGGTTTCGTTTATCCAAACCGCGCGCTCTTTTTTCTCACTTACAAGATCGCCACTAGGTGACGCCAGTTGTATCAAAACCGCCCAATCATTCGTTTCGAACGCGCTTTCGTACGTTTCGCCAGATTCAGCGGGATCGCGCCGATACGCCCGCGACACTGTGCAGCTGTTGCTTTCTGTTCTTTCTGCTGTTGCTTTCTGTTCAGACAGCTTCCCCTGCAGCGTCTTAGGGCTATCGGGGTTGCTACTTTCTGCCGCACCTGTCACATATCGCGTCTTTCCGTTTTCGGAACTGTCCGAATGCGTCTCAGTGGACAGGGACGGCAGTAGAGGACAGCGGCAAGTCTACTTCAACGTCAGGCCGCGACGTAACGCTTGCGTCGCCTGCCCACCCCGACGGAATGGCTCCCGTACGTACACTATCAGTACCGTAACACACGCACACCTCTGTGGACTTGCTGTTTTGTTTGTTGTTGACAGGTGCGAGCGCGTTTCATAACCCGCTCGTTCCTTGCTAAAGTACGCCCTTAAACACTTAGCGCTAGGGTGGCCGCTAGAGTCAACGCCGTGCTGCTGAATTTTGCGTCTTCTGCTACACTTCTACAGACGAGAGTCGTCGAGCAGAAGTCACTGGCGAGATGTGACCTGCACGATGACGGGAAGACGAGCTAAAGTAAAAGATAAAAAGAGACGTTCGCTTGCCCTCTTAACGATCACATCGCTTTCGTGAAGTACCGTTATCAAACCTTATCTTTGCCGTTCCTCACAACACGAAGAAAATGTCGCCAAGGTGTTTCGTCGCATAGATGAAATGCCTCTGATGGGTCCCATGCCCTCCCACTGCGAAGTGTTTGAGACATCTCAAGTTGGTCTTGTTATTTTTTATCGTTTACACACAAGTGTGTGTGAGACCAGTGTTCTGAGTCTGTCCTGAGCAACTGGGCGCACGTTGCCGACCTTCTTCACGGGCGAAGAAAACAAAAGCAAAGGTGGGAAGACTGGGTGGGCCTCTTAAATTGGGGCCGCATTGTCGACTCCGGGGCATCTTTTTTGTCGCGTTTGGGCGTCGGGCCAGCGGGAGTCAGTGATTTATGCAGTCTCGACGTAGTAATGTGACGCCGCCGGCCGGGAACAACCCAACTTTCTTCGATTTTTGTTTGTCCAGCTTCTAACTGACGTATGACGACTGTAAAGGCGGCGCGCCGAGGTACTATTTGTCGCGCTTGTGCGTCGATCGTTAGCATTCGGAGGCGACAGACCACGGTTAAAAGAGAAACCGCTTTTCTTCGCGACGTAGCGCGCCCGGGATATCGGATCGATACGAGTTGTACCACTGCAGTATTGTCGATTTGATCAGACGTTCATCAGTTCCTCATATTGCGGCTCGAAAGAGGCTTTGCCCCCTGAGTCGCAGCCTGCGGTAGAATGCATCGAGTCGCATCATTTTATTGCGTTTCGTCTGTAGTGTCGTCTGCATCGATCGTCGTGTGGTGCGTCATCTGCCACGCCTGTTGATATAACAAATGTCGTCTGGTGCAGTTTAATTGCATACCGTCTACTAAGCCGACCGGCACGCCTGCTCACCAAACGAATGTCGTCTGGTGCAGCTCGCGCACCGTCTGCAATGTCGTCGGGCACACCCGCTTACTAAACTAATGTTGTCTGTTTTACCGGCTGGTACGACTGCGTGCTTGTTTATACGCGCAGCCGGTTTACTTGCTTCTGTGCAACCAGCGAAACGGACGCTGAGCGGAGAGTGCTAGATTGTTGCGCGAGAGGAGATGTATTGTTTTGACCGCATCCGAAAGGTCAGCGGCTTCTTGATGAACGGCGCGGGGAGGTTTATGAACCCAGTTTAACAATAAAACGAAAGAAAGACGCTACCGATGTTGTCGTTTTGGGGGGCCGGGCGGGGATCAGGGTCTGCCCAGCTTGGTGTGGTGGTGCGTAGTCGGTTAACAAGTGATTACCGCGAGACGCTTCGGAAGGCGCCGGCTGGAGCGGGATATGCAAAAAGGAAAAAGGGGCTGAGCGTCAGAGAACGTTAAGTTGTTTGCGTGGCGGCGGAGCGCCTTCCTGTGGATTGCGTTGCCCCCTCCCCAAGAGCTGACCATGCGGCCCAGAACGTTTCTCTTTCTTAAACGTTTTTCGGTAGACCCTTCGCTGACTGAGTTCCTTCCTTTCAACCGATGCCCCTTGTGTTGTTGTTTAGAGTTCTTGTGTTGTTGTTTAAAGTTGCGGGTATCTGAACAGAAACGAGGGTATGTAAATAGAGCTGCAAATATCTATACAGAGCAGCGAGTATGTGAACAAAGACGAGGCTATGCAAGCCGACCTGTGGGTATCTGAACAGAGGTGCGGGTATCTGAAAAAGCGATGTGGATATCTGGACAGAGACGTGTGCAAGTTTGCATGGAGTGCCCAAGCAAACGCATCTCCTCCTGCGTTCGCAGAACTCCCTTGCTCACACCATCAAGTTTAATTACATTAAGCCAAGCCTCAGCCGCAGCTCCCCTTCAAAGTTGCAATCACCAGGTTTAGGATAAGTACCATTTTCACTTCTGTCGTCTCGCCGCCTCATGTGTTCCTCTCTGGAAGACGTTGTCTCGACGGGAGAACTGAGGCCGGCGTCAAGACCAGGGGCAAGAAAAGCCGTTAGAATGGTGCCAATTTAGATCTGAGGCACCCCGAAAAATGGTGACCCTCTGAAACGACGACCGCGAAACAGCAAACGCTTGCAGAGACCTTGCCGGTGTCAGCCGCCACTTTCTAGCGCGTGCGGGCACGAAACCTTGGCGCCTTGCTACTCGTTTTCGGGGTGCCTGGATTGTCCCAACACTTCCTGACACCCGTAAGGTCTTTTGTCGGCCATCTCTGAGGAGGGCGCGTCGTCTTGATGCTGCGTACAGGGAAGCAATGGATGGGGAGTGGGACGTATTTTTAGATGGCTTCAGAGACTTGATTCTGAACTTGTGAGGACACCGGTAGTTCTGACGTATCGGAAGGTCTGTGCTGTCGTTCACTCATAGCAGGAAGTGTAAACACTCTGTTTTCGCCTTGGGTCTTTTTGGTGGGTCAGCGTGGTTGCTTCACTGCCTTGCATATCGCAAGTATTGGGTTGGAAGAACAGAATGGCTTGTTACATAACAATCTGATGAGGTGTGGCTCAGCCATCTGCGAGTTGGGTAACCTCTGAACCGACGCCAACATTGCCGCGACGTTTGTGAGTTTTCTATGGCTTGTCACCTGTAACCTTTACTGGCAGCTGTAGCCACGCTCTTCGTATCTCGACTTCCCTCTAGGCAGTTGCTAAACTTTTTATACCCTAATGGACCAGTGACTTTTGCAATCACTTTTGCAGTTGCGAGTAGCAGTACATGAGGGCCTGATTGAGCCATCGTCCTTGAGCATGTATTGGCTTTGGGGTTCTATCATCATGTGATTACTGTACAGGTGTCACACGGGCACTTGCAATCACGGTCTGGGCCAGTTCAGATTGAACTTTTTGATCGCGATAACAAGTTGGTCGCTGCTGCACGATACAGCCTAGTCCGGATAGAGTTTGGTGGAGATGCCAGCGGAATCGCAATCACAGAGCCATATCACGGTACACACGTCTGTGTGGCAACGGTGTTACTGTGATGACACCCGCTACAGCAACTCGATGACAGGTTGAGATCGAGGGTCGTACTCCTGACCTCGGTGGCTGCACTTTGACGAAAATGGAAGGAAGCTCACACACTTGGATTTAGCTGCATGTCATAAAGTCCTCAGGTGGTTGAAACGAATCTGGATATTCTTCACTTCGTTCTTTGCATTGTAATGATATGGTTGCTTTTGAACACAAAACATTACTGTGACATGGCATCCTTATTTGGAGACCACTTACTTTTGCTATTTTTCTGTGCACAATTTCTAAGGAAGAGACTACAATCACTAACAGTTAACTGAAGTGTTCTTCGGCCGAAAGTTCCATTGTATCACTTCTGGTTGAAATATGTTGCTCTACGTAATTGTTTTGAAGGCAGTAGTGTGTTTCCCAAGAGGTGGACGTTGGATACTTCATTGTAAATTTTAAAATCTATTTTTTTTTCTTTTTTAGGAATGCTGTTTGCCAGGAAGTAACTGTTCGGTGTAATTTAAGTGAATAGTTGAATTTACGTTTTTGAAGAAATGTAGCATTACCTATTATACAATTAGATGATTATATACATTGCAGTCATAATTAATTGAAATGTACAACCAATTAAAAATATATACAGTTCTGAAATATGAATTCAATACTCATATTGCCGAAAAATGTCTGAATGTGTCTATATTTTCACGATCTCTTCATTACGTCGAGCCTAATCACATCTCTGGCAGCATCTAATTTTGCATTGTGGCCAGTTGCTGGTCCCTAAAGTCACGCTCTACGTGGCTAAGTGATGCGCTACGCGCTGTCAATCAAAAACATCCTGCCCTGTCTGTCTGTTGTCCTTCGATAATTGAACCCTGCAAGCCCAACCGTAGCATCTAAGCATTTTGGTGGTGGTGTGCAGGTGTGGGGGACAGCCGGCCCGTGTACTGGGGCATCCAGCTGGACCAGGACCTTCTGGAGACTATAGTGTCTATCTACCCGGAGTGGTTCAGGGACTACAACCTCGGCATCATGGCCGACCAGCAGCAGCAGCAGTCTCCCGCGACATCCTCGTCCTCGGGCGGCGCCGGTGACGGGAGCGTTCCGTCGCCCCCCGCCCGTGTGGACGAGGCCTCCCTGCAGCAGGCCATGGACCGGAACAAGGAGTGTAAGTCTTTTCTCCCAGATTGTGAACCTCGCGAAATTATGTAAATTTACATCGTGCCATGACCTCTGTTGTATATCCTGCGCCACAGTGGGAACAAGTTGAACGCTGAGTCTTAAAGGTGTAAAGATGTCTTCTTTCTTCATTCTTAAAGAGGGGCTGACACCAATTTTCTTTTAAGGTGAGTTTACTCTGCCATACAAACCTCTTGCATGCAGAGGCTACTCTGATGAAATCTCAATCCCAACAGATGCTGTTAAAATATTTTATTTTCAAAGCCCATTTTCCCATGGGGCAACGACCGACATCGACACTATCTTGATGTTTGGCTACAGTACTAATTCTGGTGACGTCACACAGCTGTCCGACTAGTTGCGGTGACGTCAAGGTACCAAAAATTTCAAAATGGCCACTTGTGTGTCGCCAATGGAGCCACAGTGTTCGTGAAAGGGCTGTGTGTACCGTCGCGATATCTTGGACAGGCTCTTGATGAGAAGCTCGTGCCGTGGTTTGACCTCAGGCACCCATGGGAAGCAAAAATTGCTTTTCGAAACATACCATTTTTCAGGGTGTGTTCAAGCTTATCCGTACATTTTCCAGGCTTTTGAGGGCTTGTCTTTATCATTAGATGCTAAAAAAAACTGTTACCTCTCATGTCAGTACCACTTTAACATCTTAAAGCAGCAGAAAAGTTGAGGTAGTTTGTGTAGATTTATGTTAAAATAAGGTAGCCACAGGGATGCAAGAGCACAAGACAATACAAACACGGCCTTCACCTGAAAAAGTGTACTGCAGCGAAAAATTAACACTGAAACTTAGTTGCATATGGGCAGGCATGCTGCGCTACCTGTCAGTTCGGAGCACAAGAGTGTCTACGGGAGAAATAACTAGTAAATCAAATGCCTGGCTATTTGTCCGTTGCGTAGACCCCCGTGTGGGCAAAATTGACAGGTACGCATGCTTTCACGTGTGTAGCTGAGTCTGTGTAGGTTTTCTTTTTAATCCCAGTGGACCTTTTCAGGTGTTGATTGGCATTCCTTTATCTGAAGATCTAAAAGAAAAATTTGTCAGCCTGGATAGAAGATTCTTGGGGCTAAATTAACATCAGTCAAAAGTTAAAGGCAGTTTTGGCCTTTATAAGTTGACCTTGTACATTCCTTAGGAGTTGGATTGACTGTAAACCTCCGACAAAGCAACTAAATTTAAATATCAAGGTTTTACTGTCAGTCCCCCAGGGAGGCGTAACATCTTTCTTGGAAACTTCAAACTGCCTCATGCTTTCACTGGTATGGTTTGAGCCTTGTGGGAAATTGTGGTGCAGTTTGCCCCGACACCTTCCAAGCGACTGTACATAGCCCATGCTTGGATATTGATTCGCGTAGAGGTTTGAAAGAATGAAATGCCAATCTAAGCTGATTTAGTTTTTCCTTTGTGCTTCAGTTTTAAAGAACCTTGCTTAGACACTGGCACTCTCTCGTCACTGTTCTCAGAAAGTGTGAAATTGAAGTTTCTTGCACTAGGCATCTCCGAAGTGGAACTATACCACTCCTGCTAGGATAATGATTCATGAATATTATTAAAAAAGCACCGATTAATATTGAATTGATTTATCGTTTAATGTCGTAGCATTTACTTAAAAAACTAACTTGTAGATAGTGGCGCCCTCTGGGTGATATTCTGAGAAACTACAGGCATCGAACAAAAGTGCTTTTGTCGAACACCTCCCAGACGTACTTGACCGTCGCCGTGGCTAAGATATTGATTCACCGTTTTCCTCTCTCTCCCCTACCCTCTCACTTGCTCCTCCTCACCCGGTGGTGACTGCAGCGCTGAAAGTGAAGCTCATGCTTCGGCGACCCATCACTCAACTCGTGGAACAAGGCATCATGCCATGTGAGTCTTAGACCCCCTTTCTTTTCGTCACTGTCCTTGCCTCGTCGGCGAGCTCGAGCAGACGATGGCAGCGGCGAAACTTGGCAGAGCTCATGCCACGCGGCCTCTGTCGTCTGCTGTCGTGTCCGGCCGTCGTCTGCTCTCCTGCCCGGCCGGCTCGGAAGCCGTGCCAGTCAGTAGTGGCAACTGTGGTGGCCGGCAGCGGCAGTGGCAGCGGACGACAGCTGGTGCGACCCTTTTTACTTACGGTGATCTTTACGTAATGCTGGCGACGGCTCGTTTTCCTTTTCACCAGCCACCCACGCTACGATGCCGTTTTGTTAGGGAGCCAACTCCCACCTCATTTGCATGGCAACACAGCCGTACGCTGTGGAAATTAGCAGCGGGAAGGATTCCGAGGCGCACGTGCAGGGAGGGGTGCTCTTAAATTGTGTCGTAGGTACGCTCGCAGCTGCCAGCGACCACCTCTACTTGACTGGGCGCCAGGCCACCTCTTGGCACTCCTCGAGTACCTCTAACGGGACATGTTGCATGTGTAATGAGGAGCCCAGTTTTATGTGTTTCTGATTTTTGTGTGTGACTCAACGCGCTGGCGGCAGGCACATTTTGTATGTGTAATAAGTTTTCCTCTCATTCCTGTGCTTGCCGTTTTTTGGCTAGCGTGGGAGCGTTCCCTCTGTTCGCTTTTGTATTTCGTGCCGGCTTTAATTTAGCAGCCGCTGTTACTATGCGTGACCGTCTCTTTGGCACCTCGTTCTTCGGTTAATTTGGGGTTTGACCGTTTAGTGAACTCGCCGCACCCTTTGGGCGGTAGCCCACTTGAGAGATCGTCGGTCGCTTGTCTCGAAAGTTCAAGGGTGCGCTTTGGCACGGGGCCTTTTACAATTCTAGCACCCTTTGTGTGCTTCACACTTGCTCATAGCTATGGGCAAGCGCAGATTGCATGAAACCTTTTAGAGTCGTAACGGCATTGCTCGATAATGGCTTCCTGGAAATGTCTAGTCCACCTTGGTGGATCAGTGGTTGATGTGCTCGGCCGCGGACTGCAGGTTGCGAGTTCGATCCCTGTTGTGGTGGTCACATTTTGACGGAGGCAAAATAGCAGAGGCCCGAATGTTGTGCGATGTTGGTGCACGTTAAAGAAAACCAGACAGTCAAAATTTCTGTAGCCCTCCACTACGGCGTCCTTCATGATCGTATTCTGGTTTTGGGACGTAAAACCCACAGATTATTTTTTATAGAAATGTCTAGACTTGGTGGGTGGTGGAAACATATATCAAATGCTGTAGGAGCCAGGCTGACTAAACTGGTAGTGAACTTGTGCTTGCGTTGATCTTTTTTTTTTTTCTTTCGAGAAATGGGCAGTAATCTTAAGTATATTCGATCACTCCGGTTTTCTCAAGGGCTACACAAAGCATTGGTACAGGCGTCTATTGATCCTTTGCGGAGCATTCGAACACTGCTGTACACAACCATGCTAGTGGAGTAGCACCGAACATGGCCAAGTCAGTGGCTAGACGAGAAAGAATTGGAGGCAAGTTTCGAGAAAGACTGTGGTAGACGTTGGAACTTTTATTGAACAAGCCAGACCAAGTGTATGTGTAGACACTGTTTAGGTACAGGGGGAGGCTAAAAGTACCCAACCTGAGTTGCCAGAGATAGTGGCCTGTGAACTTTTGCCTACCGCTGTACATTTGCTTTGTACCCTTTGTGTACGCTTTATGTACCTTCTATGTGCATTCAGGCACCCTTTACGGGCATATGGCGTGAGAGTGATGCACGTTAATCGTCATCACCTGCACCGCTTCTTTATCATTACATTTTTCGTGAGGAACTAACCTGCAGTGCAAGTGTAGTAACGTAAACTGATTGTAGTGATGTCTTCCTCGGTCTGAATCTTCGTTGTGCGTCAATCATCAGTTGCCTTTCAGATCAAACATCGTTGAAATGTTTGGGAAGTTCAGTGCACCAACATTGCGATCACTGTGCAGCATTTATACTATTCACCTTACCACATTTGCCTCTTGGGCACCATCAGCCAAGCTAAAGCAAAATGCACAAATACTACCCCCTCTGTTTGGCTGAAAAGGGCTCGAAATGTGTTCCACGAAAGCGTGCGAACATTGGCTAACGGAAGGTGTGTGTGGCATAGTGATGACTGTGAGCAGGGCTTCTATATATTGTCCAGGTGTAACTGACTGTAGACTGTTTAACAGATAGCCGTGCTGCCATATCAGGCTGTTAAACTTTTGTGTTTTGAATCTTTAACAACTAAACAAACAGTGTTACTTACGGCAGAGGCGCACACGTGAAAACAGTTGGGTCGGTGCGTGTAATATTTCATGGCCCTATTGATTTACGTCTCATTATACTAAAATAAGAAAACATGTGCTTACCAGCCCAAGGTGGCGGACCACTCATGTCTCGGGTAACATAGTCTATAGAGTCAACCTTTGGTAAGCGCAATTGCAAGTTGACCGTACGGAAGCACTGCTTGTAAGCCATCCCTCCTGTTCTCATCGATTTCTATGCTTTGCAGCTCTCAAGGCCTCTCCCGCATTCCATGAACAGAGGAAGAACCTCGAAAGGGCCAAGGTCAGTACTCGGGGGAAAAAAAAAATGTTTGAAAGAATAGTATATATATTCGCAGCCGGCGCACGATTCGCCCTGCGCTTCCGGGTGAACAAAGCGTCCGACTGTGCCTGCCGCTTCCTCTTTTGCTTCCCCCCCTCGACCACTAAACTCTGGCATCTATTCCTGCAGATGGGGGACTACCTCAAGAACAAAATTCAACGGAGGCCAGATCGCCAAGAGCTCATACAGCAGCACATTCTTGAAGGTGAGCGCTTTGTGCACATGAGCGTACGAGAACTGCTTCCTCATTTCTCGGGCATTTTTAACCGTCTTGCCCGTTTTTCTCTTCTGTCTTTTTCAATCACCTCCTTTCTTGCTCTTTTTGATTTCCTTTCTTTTTTTAACACTCTTTATCATCAGTCGTTATTTTTACAGTGCGGGGGAAATCTCAAGCGGACGAGATAAACTGACACTTCCACATTTTTTTTTTTTTTTTTGGCGTCCGTAGAACTCTCTCATTGATTGCTTCCTTCTTTTTAGGTATTTATTTTTTGCCCAGAGTCTCAAGAACCTTTCTTTTTCTCTTTAAACTTTTTTTTCTTGATTATTTATTTGTTTTGCCATTTCGCATTAGGTTAGGTCTTCATCCTTTTCCTTCTGTTTTTGATGCCTTCATATTTCCGCTGCTCGGTAAAGTGACTAGTTGGACACTCGCCAAGTAACATTGCGGTTCGGTGAATCTGGCAGGACCCCCAAAGATGCCGACAAGCGTAGTTCTTTCATCGAGAATCGAAAGGAAATTTCTTGACCGCTCGCCGCGGTCAAAGAGGAAACGTAGCGTGTTTATTGTCCCTCGCTTTGATTGCGCTTCCTCCGGTGCTTTTCTTTTATCTGTTTTTTCACTTCATTTGTTGTTCGATTTTTTTCGGCGGCACAACTTCTCCTGAGCTCATCAATTTAGATCATTACGCATACCATCTCTGTGACGCACCAGTCGCAGTGGCTTAGCAACAGTGGGTGTCACACTGTTACGAGTGCAAGGGCTCAGGTTCAAATCGCTGTACTGTGCGACGGCCGTATTTCGATACAAGCAAAGTGCCGCACAAACCTGTGCACGTAAGTCAAGTGTGCCTTAAGAAACTCCGAGTTCTCAAAAATTAGCTTGTAGTTCCTCGCTAGGTGATGCCTCATGATCCAGATAGTAATCGTTTCTGGCACATACATCTGCAGAGATTAGTTTTTAATTTATCCGTGGTTCTTCATGGGCCTGCCGAGGTGGCCTCAAATTACTGTAAGCTCGGCATCTGTCATGCGCCTCACAAGTGTTGAGACACGACTGCAGTTAAAACTCGATCTAACGAAACTTGATTTGACAAATATTCTTGTAACAAAGGAACTTTCATTTCTAGCAAATACCTACCCAAACGGCTTGATGTTGTCGTGAACCTGAATTAACAAATCCAACTCCGCACCAAATCCCGTTTGACAAATATCCTGTTGTAACAAAGGAACTTTCATTCCTAGCAAATACCTACCCAAACGGCTTAATGTTGTCGTGAACCTGAATTAACAAATCCAACTCCGCACCAAACCCCGTTCAACGAAGTTTTAAGTTCTGAGGTAGGGGAGTAAGAAAGCAGCGACTTTGCCCTCATTTTCTCATGTACAAGTTTTTCTTTGAGCGTGCGTTCCGATGCTGTAACGTTAAAACATCCAGCTGCACTAATCGCGATTCTAATGCTGTGGTCACTTTTGTTATGTTGTTGTTTAAGCAAGACATGGCTTGTTTCTTTACCACTTTACTGCTCATGTCATCACTCCATTCGTTCTCTCTGCCTTTGCATATCGGCAGCTTGTCGGAGCTTCTTGGATTGCTCAAACTTGAAAACACCGAGAAAGTCTGTTACACGGCTGCAGACTCTTCTCAAGCTTGGGCGGACGTTTGTTTAGCAGCAAATGTTAGCTTTAGTTGTCGCTAGACGTTCATTTTGCTGATTTCGAACCACCGGAAGATTTCTGTCTCGATTGTGTGAACTCTTCCCATATTATTGAAATAGTTGGAGCGTGTCCATCATGTCACTACATTGGGTTTTATCTGTTTGTGTTTTCTTATACGAAAGCAAAAACTCCATAAATCATTCATCTGTCAACAATTTCAGACACCACGGTGGACCCGAGCCTTCAGGACAAACAGCGGCAGTTGAAAAAGGCGCGGCTGGCCGATGGCCTCAACGACCGGCTCTCTCACCGGCCCGGACCTCTGGAGTTAGTCAAGGGGAACATCCTACAGACGGATGCGACATTTGCGCAAGCCATCAAGGGTGAGTCGAGTGTCCCTTGTTCCGCTTTCGTAAATCGACCGACTCGCGCTGCGCCAAATTGGGTGTCGCCGGTACACTCTGCTGCCAAGCGCCAGCGTCGCCACGTCAGCTAATTACAAACGTATGAAAACTTTAGCACGGGAAAACATTAATGACGTAAAGGAAGAGATCACTCGCCACGTCATCTTTTCATGACTTGTAGACGTTCTTCCAACTTAGCCAATTCTTTTTGTGAGGAAGAGCATAGTTTTAACAGACGGCTTGGACTACAGTACTGAACAGAAATAGGCAATAATGATGAAAGCATTGAAATCTCACTCTCCAGATGCAATTGTCCTAATAAGCAAAGCTTTTCACACAGTTTCGAGCAGGTGGCTGTATTTGTGGAGGATGGTCGGCGCTCACGGGGCGGGACATCGGTGGCTGTGGCGCCTGTTGCCCTTGTGGCAAATGCAGAGTGCACGTATTCGTCCTGCTACTTTCTTTTGTCCGCCTCTCCTTTACATGTCCTACTCTCTCCCTTCATCGAAGGTGACCCACCCTTTCGGGAACTGTGTTCACTGCTGGTGCCGTTCGTACCGGTTCTGGGAACCTTAGTGAGCCCAGAGACGTGGGCGACTTCCGACAAGGTTGCCATGCCAGTTTCTGGGGACGTTGCCAAACATCACCTTCTGTGGCTCACGGCACGGCAGTTTCTGAAAAGCACATCGAATTCATGATTTTCAGCTGGTCTCTGCCTGAAACAAAAGTTTTGCCTATCGATTTAAGCACCCAATCCTTCATAATCGTTGAAGATCGCCATGGGAAAAATTTGGTTTCGTATCCCTTTCACGCCTTAACATCTCTAAATTTTAGTCAAGCCACCCAAAGCCTTAGGGAGGCTACGTTTTGTGGCCTCTTTGCAAAAGAGTATCAACATGTCAATAAAGCGATTAATGTTGAGTAAAGTTAAAAGAAACGTCTGAGAAGGGCGTTAGTGTTGGTTGGCATGGCGTCCCCAATGCCACGCTTAAAGAGGAATCAAGGAGGTCTTGCATTGCTGCGTAGGTATCTCGGAGGTGGAGTTCTTGCTTCCTCTTCGGAGGACTGACAGCTGTCATTGCCCGCGCTCCCTTGCCACGTCTCTGTCATTGCTATCGCTTCCGCGTGCACCATTCTAAACTTAGACACCGGAACGTTTGCGTGTGTGCGTTAAATGCGCCACATCATCTGTCACCTGATGAAAACGAAACTTACTGCAAGCTGCTTTAGATACGTGCCATGAGTTTCCGCGTTGCTCGAGGTCTCCTTAAAATTTTTTTTTCGCTTGCCTCATCGGTGTGATACATTGAGTATTTTCGTTTCACTCTTCAGCAATGTCTGGTTTAAAAAAAGCCATGTGAGGGCGAAAAATAATCTCTCATTTCCTTCGTCCTTTGCAGTGATGATTTACTCAAGAATGTTCTCGTGCACTTTGGGGTCATCTTTTTTTCGTGCATGACACTCAACTCCACATTATATGACAGGCGCTACAGTTTCTTAATGAAGGCTGCGACATGGTCATCGTATGGTCACAATTTATCTCTACGACCAAGAGGAGAGCGCCTGTTATAGTGAATTGTTTGAGAAACTATGCCCTAATGTCACAATATAGGTCGAAATTCTCGACTTGAAAGTGTTGCCTCTGGGCTCCTCCTGCCAACATCGACCATAACTTTACCGGACATGCGCAGTACGGAATTGTCAGATCAGAAGCCGTTGCTGTGTCGTCAACGTTGAAACGGTGCAGTACGATGGTGCGCACGCCTTTGGTGTACTGCTCCGCACACCTTGATACCCAGCGGCACAGCAAAGTGTACAGCTGTTGCATTGTGCCCACGATTCCTTCCCTTGCTTGATGAAAATGCTGCAGCATAGTGCCGAGATTGAGAAGCGCTGGAAGATGGAAACTCGGGCCTACGATAACATACTTTTAGCTCTTCTTTAGGCACTTCCTGCTTTTGTTGTGTGTGACTGGAACTCGAAATTCGCGGCTACATGTTTTGCCAAACGTGTATGGATTAATCAAATCTTAAATGAGTACTCGCGCAAAATTTCTCACTTGGTTTTTGCATCAAATGATGGGCCAAGCCCCCGAGAGCGCAGAAAATTTACATCTACACCATGCTTTTAAAAGCTAGTTTTCGTTCCTTCTGTGCCCTGATGTCACGACATGGTATGAGGAGCGCCACCAGGTGGTAGTACAGTTGATCCCAGTTATATCGAACTCGAACGGTATCGTTATATAGTTCGATATATAAATCATCCGAACTATAAAACATGCATAATTAAGGCCTAAATTAAAGCATTTCAGGCTTTGAAAATCGTTACAAGTGCTAACGATTTGTTTGTAATATAATGAAGAACAAGGTGTGAACGGTAGGTTACTGCACTTTACTGTTGACGAAAACAGTCCGTAAACTTATCTTTGCGCGCCGTCAAGTTGCAGTCATCCTCAATATTATTGAAGCCTTTCAAATAAGTGAATTCAGCTCTTTCGGCCACAACATCGTTGATTAGCACAGAATGCCGATGCAAGCTTTGTAGCGCGGCAAAAGGTTGGTTAGGGGCAGCAGCGAAGGCATTGGCATATTCATAACAGTACGGTTACACTTAAGCAGCACCGGAAACAGCAGCCATGATTTCAGCATCGATGCAGTCAGAAACGGCTACGTCGTTATCTGCACCGATAAGTCGCTCTCTGTCCGAGGTGGTGCCTGGAAATGCTGATAATTCACATAATTCACTGAGGCACCGTGCGCCATTGTCAGCGGGCGTGGCGCACTCTGAAGTCGTCTCCTTGCCTGCCTGGTTCACAAGGAAAGTTTATGACGGTGCTTTGCTTGACGTCGCTTTAAGTGCGAGTCAAAATTTTTATTGTTATGTGCGGGTGAACGTTCTGTTCCAACTCCCGCATGAGGATTTATCAGAAATGAGGCGAGAAGTACACAAGTCCACAAGGCGCAAAAGAAAACGAGACGACACTGAGTTCTCACAGCCGACATGGTGGTGATATCGATGTCACTCTTGGCTTTGCAGCTGGTAGCTGCTGCTTTTAGCTACTTTGATGCGAAAAGCTAGAAAAGCGTAGCCTACAAGACATGCATTTTAAGACCGAAAACACTAAAGATACGTCAAGAGGATCTCGAAAACCGTGCTTTTCAGGCTCGCGTGCTCTTGTGCTCTAGCAAACAAGAAAGATAGTGCTAACATTGCAGCGAGATCGCCGAGTCACTTTGCATTCTCATTTTGGTACCCTCGCCAATAGGGTCTTATGTAAAACACTATGCCCGCGCATTAAGACTTGCAGATCACATATCAAACATGCCGTTGCACTCGTAAGCGTCGCGCAACGAACCCAATCAGCACGATGCGATAGCACTGCCTTTTCATAGCCTGCACGCGAAAAGGGATCGGCACTTGTCAGAATGCGACCAAAAATTAATCAATATTTGCTATAAAAAGTGCAATTATTTGGGCTTCGGCGCGGCGCAGCATTCGATACAGCGAATGCCTGGCTGTGTGGTAGTTAGATATGAGAGTGCAACGGTCCTATATTTTTCAATAGGAAATTCATGGGGATTTTATAACTGTTCGATGTTGTCAATAATTCAATATATCAGAGTTTGGTGTATCTAGGGTCGACTGTACGTGCCCGCGCAAGTTTTCGAGACGTATTCTCATCTGCCCTTCACTTTTTCAATTGTCTGCTGTGCGCTGCATTTGTGGCAGCTGTCACGGCGAGGGGGCACAACGTTGGGATGGGCGCTGTTTCTTTGTCGACAATCTGAAGTCTGTCAGCAACTGCATGTTGCACGGGTACGTGTCCAGAGTGAAGTGCAGCGAACAGAGTAAACTCCGCTTGGTTGGCGGGCAGTCTTTGCTTCGGCTGTGCCACACGAAGTCGACCTGTGATTGTTGCAGCACCAGATTGTACGGGAATCACTGTAACTTGCACCTATTGTCTCCAGTTGCTTTGGCGCAAGACTTCACAGGGAATATTGGTGCCATGACGACAAATTCATAATAAAACTATTCGTGTGCCCTCCGATAAGGGTATATATATTTTGTATTCGCATGCACCTGCACTATCCGAAACTTTGCCAGCTCACTTCACAGGTATGCTAAATGACAGTGATTGCGCGACCACATGGTGCGAGCAGTCGACTTTCCTCTAAAAAAAAAAAAGATGTCAGTACCCTTTTAAAATTAGGCTTTACAAGTTGCCAAAGTGTTGCGTGCTTGAGCGTACTTGATCTCTGTTTGCTCAGAGCTCTAGTTACTGTGGTAGCGTGTTCTAGCTTGTGTCGCTTCACTGAATACAGCTTTTGTTTCTTCCTAAATTTTGGCTACTTACATAGCTTAACTGCCTGCCTCTGCTTCTCCAACAGAGGGCCAGATTCCATTCCGGCGGACGTGCGAAGGTGAGAGCCGGAAGCACCCGCCGCCTCCGCATTTCCTCATCGACGAAGACAGCAACGGAAGTGACCTGCTTGTGCCTTCCCCTGGCCAGGACTCCAACGACCAGTCGCAGAGCAGGTGGGCATTCCCCTCATCCTATCATAAGTGCTTGCTAATCCTTCAATACACCCCCACATTGACACACGCTTCCACTCAAGCAACACACACACCAAACTCTTGAGTGGAAGCGTGTGAATGTGGGCGAGTGTTTTCAAGGATTACCAAGTTTCGCTAAGTACTTGCAACACGACGACTTACCAAATGGCCCAACATGTTGGAATAAGTTCCTTCTTCCATCTAGTGTTTTCAAGCGTGTTGTTTTTTTTGTGTCTCAATAAAAATGCGTTAGTAAATCTGTCATACATACCCTCAAACCTTATTTTAGGTTGCATGTGGCACCAAAATACTTTGTTATATCCAGAAATTCGTTATGAGCGATTATTTCGTAACACTGTATGTTGCTAAGCTATTTCTCACTTACTTCATTATAAACGTTAATTCGTTATATCCGAATTTGCGATATCGCGATACGAGTGTGATACAGCAGCTGTTATTGACAACAGTGCTTGCAAAGCCGGTGAGACTGTGGCAGCCATTTGAAAGTGGTTTACGTTCTTGTCACACAGTTTGCCGTCGATAGACCTGTCGGAGTCTTCGTCTTCGTCTGGCACCTTGCACGAGGGCTCGCCGAGCTCAGTCTCTGCAGGAAGTCCACGGGCTTCGCCACCGGTAGCGCCAGTCACAACGCAGCCAACACCCGTGGTCCAAGTGGCAGCTGTCGCACCGTCAACAGCGTCCTCGCTCTGCGCCTCGCATCAGGTGAGACCACGTTTGGATTAGGTAGGGCCCAATCTCGCAATCCTAAATGTGCTAGCTGTGTGCCTGCATCTAAGTTCAGTTATTAGGCATTGCCAGGGTTATTCTGAATGGCTGCCTATGTTTAACTCTAAAATGTGGATAGAATTGAACTTTGAACGGGTGGAATGCATTCCAAAATATCACAGAGCGGATGAGAGGCATCAAAAGCATCATGAAATGTAGCTATATATTTGATCACGCTGTGAGAATCGCGGCAAGGGTTGGGCTCAGAATTCCACGGATTGCAAGATTGGCTCATGTACCTTGTTCTCTCTTCGGCAGTCGCAGATGTCAGTGCTTGTTTAATGTTGTGTCAAGGGGGCATTACATGTCTGTGTTGTGCATTACTTTTGCTCGTTCACGCAATGTGCAAATAGTAAAACATTATGCTTTCGGCTTCTTTTAAACGCATTGCGTTGAAATAACTATTGTGTCTTTTCCAAGCCATTCTCTTCTAGAAGTTAAAACGTTTGAACGTACACTACAGAGGGCATTAAAAACGAACATCCAGCATTTACTGCATGAATCTTATCTTACGACAAAGTTTTTGTCTGCGAACTGATCCTTAATTGAAAGGTTTAACGTCAGTCTCATTGTTTATTTGTTAGTTTTTTTTCCAATATGTATAATTCAGTTCAAATTGATTATCGTCTGTTTTGCACACAGTTGCACTGTGCTGCACATAGCTCTGTACTTGCTTGCATACATCACGATACCTTCTATCTGATGCATTGTAAGCATATACTCATTGCATACCAATATCAGGAAGGAGATATACAATTTAATACATTACATTCAAACCTCATCATAACAAAGTTGCACCTTACCTAAAAATGTTTGTTATATCCGAAAATTTGTTATAAAGGTTTATTCCTAACACTATATATATTGCAAGCTTTCATTCACTTCATTGTAACCGATGTTTCATTATATCCAGATTTGTTACATCGAGATATGAGTGTGTATCCAAGCAATTCAAGTCCAGTCGTACTTGTGCATTTGATTTAAGAATTGTGCTGGAATACAATTGCGATATGACTTCAGTCTTGTAGATTGCGGAAATGAAGAGTTGCAGAAACACAGGCTCACTTTTCTTCTTTTCTTTATTTTTTTTTTCTCCTTTTAGCTTCAGCAGCAAGCTGTCGCCCCTTTAACGCCCCAGCCATCGCCGCTGCAGTCGTTTCTGAGCACCAACGCCACCGTGGTGACGCCGTCGACGACTGTGTTTCTCACGGGGACGGCGGTGACTCCCGCACAGCCGCAGCAGGCGGGCGGGGGCAAGGCGGCTCGCAAGAAGTCTAAGTCAAAGGCACAGCCGAAGGCGCGCACTATCAAATTCCACGAGTACAAGGTGAGACCAAAAGCGCACACCCGTCTTTGTCATGCGTCAATCAGATACGGTTCACCATATTTTCCAGATTCATGCGCGTTTTTTGCGTCCAGCATGTGCACAATCCCTGTGTCCAACGTCGCACATGCCCAATTTTTTTTTAGGAAGTGGCGCCCCTCCGATTTGTGTTGGGGGAACTTGGTACAGTAGACTCATTGAACCGAACCTGGAAAGACCGGGAAGACTAGCTCCGTTAAACAGGATTTCCGTTTACCAAAAGACAATTACCGTTGCAGAATTCAGGAACAAAGTGAATAATATCAGAGGTAGTTGTTTCATTTAAGCTGCCTTCTGCTCAAGACATCTAATTACAGTCAACTGCCTATTTTTCGAACCCTCTAGGGAGCGAAAAACCGTACGAAAATTCGGGCAGTCCGAAAATTCGCGCAGGCCGGGCAGTTCATGAGAGGGCACAAGTCAGTCATGCTGTCACTTTCTTCAGGCAAGTCTGCTGCCTCTGTGTCGAGTATGAAGCCCGCGTGGCGAAAGCAGTTGCGAAGCGTCTTGCGTTACTGCCTTCTATGCATCCGCAAGCATTCCGACAGCAGACAGAAGGTCAACGCTGTAGCCTTTCCCGTTTTCCGAGCACAGCACCATGCGGTTGAGTATACGTGAATGGTACAAAAGTTTCAGATTACAGATAACGCCTTGGTCCATCGTTAACCGACGGTTGTTTTCCGCGCTTCGATGCCATCGGTGAGGACGACGAAGGCGGAGTGGGGGCCATCGCAGGCAAGCGAAATCCTCACGATGTGGACAAAGGAGTTTGCTGACGAGCGTCGAAGTACCTAGGCTTAGCGTTGCAGAGCACACTTCACAGGATCGCACAACCACAGACTAGGCTAGCCAAACACCATGTGGGCTGCATAAGCAAAATGACGCGACGGCAGGCGACGGTGCCTTGGGTACTCCGGAGGTGGCGCTGGTGTAAACATTCAAGATAGCCAGTGTGGTCAGACCAAATCCGTGTGTGACAGTTAGTTTTAGTTCGTGTGCAACGATTAGTTTTAGTTAGCTTCGCGAAAGCACTGCGCGGGAAGCCAGAGTGGCACGCACGAGCACGAGCGCTAAAGCGAAATGAACTTTATTGGCGCCAAATAATTTCCCGGTGGATAGTTTCGAATGTCAGTGAAGCACCCTTGCACGATAAGCACGGCCAGTGTTAGGAATCTCGGAGGCCGTGCGTGTTTCTCCGCTAACGATCAACGAGAACGAGTCCAAGCAACAGATGCCGCCACAGTAGACAGGAGCGCTCATTTATGCGATCGTAATCGCGTATGATGCAGTTGTGGTGGTTTCCACTGGAAGTCAGTGGTGGTTTCAGACCTTCCTTCGCGTCAAAAAGTCTAAAAAATTGGACTCCACGGGGTTCGAACGTCCGAAATTTCAGACTTCCTGATACATTGATTCTATGGGGCTCGTAGCGGTGCCGTGAAGATGTCCGAATTATCGGGCATGTCCGAAAAATCGGCAGTTGACTGTACTGAGAGTACTTTGTGAAGTTGTCTTTACTGCATTTCACACATTGTGCGCAACGCTGTAAGAAGTGTGTACCAAGTTTGGCAAAGAAAATGTATAGTACCGTGCCTTTCGTGGTCAGCTACCCAGCCACAGCCGCCACATTTCGATGAAGGCAATACACTAGATGCCTCTCTGCTTTGATTTAGGTGCATAATAAAGGGGTACCGACACCACTTTTCGGAGGTGTCTTCACACTGCCGTCTAAATCTGCTGTGTACTGAGGTAGCTCAGAGAAAGTGTGAGGCTCAGCAAATGCTGATAAGATATTTTACGCTGATATTAAAGTCAATTTTTCCGGGGCACACACCTGTCGGCATCGACACTAGCTTGACGTCGGGCTACTGTATTCAGTCGGGAGCCTTCACGCCGCAGTCTGGCTAGTTGTGACATCAGGTACCAAAACTTCCAAAATGACCTGCTGGGAATCAAGATATTCAAAATGGCCATCTCTGTGTTACCAACGGAGCCACGTGGCCGAACAAATGTGTAAACGTCACAGTATCTATCACGAGCTTGTGACGGGTGCCCTGACGTGTTGCGACGTCAGCGTACAGTAAGAACTGAAACTGGCTTTCAAGAACACACAGTGTTAGTTTTTGCAGGATGCACCCATGCTTAGCAGTACATTTTATATGTTCTTGAAGCCTTTCAAATAGCAATTGAAAATTTTCATGTCAGTACCCCTTTCGTGCAAATTTTCAGAGCCGTGTACTGTGGCATCTTTCATAATCATAATGTGGTTTTGGGACGCAAAACCCCAATAATTAATATTTAGTGGTCAGCTAACATCGTACCCAGCTCCCGTTGTGCCGCATCTTCCTGCCAATGAAAAACCTGAAATGGAGCACAACGAAACATCAGATGTAAAGGGGGGGTAGGGGTGGATAGATGTGGGACGTCTCTTTTCCTTTAACATAGCAAACTGTCTTCGCTTACTACTTGGCATAAAACGATTTTGTACGTTTGCTAGTGAGAGCCATCTAACTATTCCTTGCTTAGAGCTCAGCATTGTGCACACACTGTGCGAAACCAAGTGTAATTTACTTTTTTGCAATTCCCCAGTAGTTTTTTTATTAGTATTTATATATTTTTGAGTGCCCATTTTTATTGTTGTCCCTTTCAATCGCAGTTAGTACTGTTTTACGGCAGGCTTCCGGTACCACCTCATTGGACTGTTAACTTTCCACCACCTTTGAGTAATAACTAAACAAATCCTGCTACGGTGGGCACGCACACTTGAAAACGGTTGGGTTGGTGCAGTCGGCATTTTGCGATCTCGCGGAATGCGCGGCACGATGTACATTAATGACAGGACACTTGTTCGAAAGCCACAAGTGACATCACCCATGCATCTTACCTAAAATCGCTCAAGGACCCCACCCAGTTCATGCTCCAAGATGTCCATTTCATTTCATTTCATTTTTTTCGTCATGGACCGACCCCGCAAGCAGTGGTCCTTTTTTTATAATAACTATGTCGAGGGCTCGTCCCACGACTTTGAAGAGCGTTGCGCGAAAGGATTGGGTGAATGGTGTATGCTAGTTTGTTGCAAAGATTGCATTCGTCAAGAAGGGGCCGTTGGCCGAAGCCGGCTTAGTATATCGGGATGTGTGCTTGATGCATCATTGTGCACGCTTTGTCAGCAATGACATAGCATTCGACATTGCATTGAGGTATGCTTGTGCGAGTTTCTCTTTGCGAGAATATGACTGGACATTAAAACAAATTTCAGGAAGGGACGTTGACGGTCATTGAAACGAAACGTTCTGTCCATCTGATAACTATGTCTGCATTGTTGTAGGTTTTCAAACGACTGTGTTTAGGTTGGTATTTTTTTTTATGGGTGTGCTACAACATTGAGCTCTGTACAATCAGATTGTGGGTCTCTCGTCTCCCTATTGAAGAGTTGACAATGCGCACAAATGTTTGCGTAGAAGCGCATCTCGCACGAGAGCAGTAAAAGACGATATTTGGGTAAAGAAGTTGCTGGCCAAAGGTGAAAGGATGCGCATGCGGTTATGTTCAATCGAGTCTCGTGTAATGCCAGCCTCGTTATTCGGAAGCACGATTTCTGGTAATGAAGCATGCTCTAATTTGGTCGGCACACATTGATATGAGTCTGCGGCCGATGCAAAGAGTTATCAGTCAAAAGACGGTACAATTTTCAGCTTTCGCGGTGGTCTTGTCTAAAATAGACATTGAGGTCCACTTTACTTTTGCAGTAAACTTGATCATCCTTTAAGTATTAGTACAGTAGACTCAGTAAACGGAAATCTGTTTAACAGAACTGCGGCTTAAATGAGACAAGTTCTTCTGACAAGATTGGTTTCATTCATCTTGCACTGTGCGCCCCTATTAATCTCTCGGTAAATGTAACTCCTGTTAAACCTAACACATTCTACTGGTCCCTTCAGGTTCCGTTTAATGAGAGTCTACTGTATACTGTATTCTCGTTGCATTTATTTTGTGGAGTTATGATTGCTCAAGTTTTACTCTATGCAGGTGGTGAGGTTGTGGTGACGGTTATTGCTAATGACATGTGATGTTGGTAAGGGTGACAAAGATCACCTAGCCTGTGTAAGGGTGTTACACGCAACCATATGTCGGAAAAATAAAGCGAACTTTTCTCCTCATACTAAACATTTTGTCTGCATTCGAACAGTTCCATATGTTATCTGTAGCAATAATGTGGGAATTAAGCGGCATTTATACGAAGTTCTTATGTATTCCATACAAAGATATAGAAATCGTACTGTCTTACTTCAGTACCATATGAAATGTTTCAATAAGAATGGCAGTACAAAAAAAGCAAGATTGCCTTCAAGAAGCTGGGCTCTCGTCCGCGTCGAGTGAACAAACTTGGCTCATCCACGGCAGGGAAAGGGTCAAAGCTCATTGATGCACATCAATTTCGATTTCTCGAAGATGACAAAGGGCAACTGAAGATGTCAACCATTTGCGGGCCCCGAGGCAGAAGGCCGCTTAGGCGTCACCACAACTCTTGAATCTCTGTGCCGCGTGGTGAAAACATGTTTTCCGTCTACAAGTGCTTGCCAAGAAAACAGCTCGGCAGGTGTGCGCGAGCGAACCGGCGCTCCGTGAAGCGAGACTGTCGACCTGTCGAGACGGCGGCACGGGGGGAAGAACACGTTCCGTCACACACGTGTGTTCTCCTCGGGTCGCTCTTTCCCGCCTCTCGTCGCTGCTTATTTTCGTCTTGCTTTCCTCGGTGCGGCCTGGTTCCGTGTCCCAAGTCTAAACTATAATTTTTCCCCTATTGTTACAGGGTGTGCGTCCACCATGTGTTAGCGATTCTCTTGTTGCTCGTTGCTGCATTGTATTTTGCACGTTCTGACGATGTACACACGTGGGTTTTCCTTCCGTTAACTGCCGCGTAGTGTCTGAGGGTTCGAAAAAAGAAACGGGGAGCAAGCGGGCGT